GCTTCAACTTGAGAAGGAAAGGAGGGGAGGAGGAGTTATGGTAGTTGAAAGAAGACCAACTGGAGATAATGAAATCTGAAAAGGAAGGGAAGGATAACCAGGATTTTTCAAATCTGAAAAGAGGAATGGGTTTTGGTACATTTGTATCTAGAATGATAGGACAGTGATCAGAACAAGGAGCTGTGAAAGCATATTGAATGAGAAAGGGGAACTTAAGATCAAATTCAGAGGATATCAGGAACCTATATATCCAACCTAGCCATGACTGGATTGGATCTACAATTTGACCAAGTAAATTTTTTGCCGCTAAGGGGAAGGTCAGAGAGGAGGAGGGAGTCAATGAGATTTCTAAAAACTGACATATCTCTGAGAGAACCCGTTCTCCCACTTCTTTCGGAAGAATGAAAAGTCATGTTAAAATCTCCAAAGACTATCCACGGGAGAGAGAATGAATTTCTGAGTCTCTTAAGTTCCCACCAGCAGACTTCCTTGTCGGCAGGATCACAAGGAGCGTAAACTGATGTGACGACAAAAGACCAGTTAGAAGGCTTGTGAGTGAGAAAAGCTGAAACAGAGAAAATATCTGAAGAAGAGGAAGAGCAGGAGAAGAGGTCGTCGTTCCAACCCAAGAGGACACCTCCCCTAGATTCAGAAGCCTCTAGAGAAATCCATGAAGAAATAGAACCCCCACCTAAGGATTTCAAGATGTTGGGTCTAGAAGAGTTTAACTTTGTTTCCTGCAGACCCACAATGTCCACCTTAGCCAACTTAATGCAATCCCTGACAAGACGACGCTTGGCAGGGTTATTAATTCCTCTTACATTCCATGAACCAAAAATCATTATAACATGGAATAAAGGGAGACAACTGAGGAAGAAAGGAAGCACTATTTCTAGGAATTGTTCCCTAGATGTTCCATATTAAGAATGTCTTCTATATCTGAAGGATCGATCGGTTCCTTAATACCACAATTGATAGATATTTCACCCAACTTAGCTAAATTCATGGAATTGATAGGTAAAGTAGAAGCAGAAGTTGATGAGGAAGATCTGCTCTTGGAGATACCTGGATGCTTGCTGATTCTCTGAAGGGCTAAATGTCTCTTGAAGGGATGAATTGATAACGATCTTTTGGAGGCTTTCTTCTGAGCATTCTTTGAACTAGCCTTGACTTTCCCAAAGCCTGGAGGGGGACCAGAAGAGGAGATGTTGTCCATAGAGTCGGATGTGCTGATATCAATTGACTTATCTTGGTTAGGGGGAGCTCGAGGAGGATCTTGCACACTATCCTCTTCAGGAGATAGAACCAATTGCAGTTTCTCCCAGGAGGACTTAGCTATTTGAAGCTTAACACCTTTATATGAGACTTCCATCAGGTCTGGAATAACAGCAGTCTTAATTGCAGAGGGGTGAACTTGAGGGAGGTCACAAGACTGCATCATCGGCATTTTGCCTTTGGGATCCTGAGTAGGAGGAAAGTTGCTCTGAACTGGCTGGACGACCTCGTCGTATCGAGGAGGGGGTGGCGGTGGAGGTGGCAGGTCCTCTGAAGGGGAAGAAGGAGCCCCTTCTTTTCTGATGAAACTTTCGTAATACTCCCTGCATCTGGCTTTGGAATCTGACAACGCTATACCAACTACTCTCAGACGAACGGTGCCTTCCATGATATGGATATTATCAGGAGATTCGTATCGGAACTTGACGACACGAGGGATCTCTGAGGCATCTCTAACATGCAGCATGGCTGAACACTTTGAGGCTTCCTTTTAAAACATGATATCATCAGAAACGGTAATAACTTCACCCACATCTCCCAGTAACGAGGTAATAAAGGCCGAATCCCAAAGATGGATGGGTAGATCTAGAATATCTACCCACACATATACAAACTTGGGAAGAGCTTTGAGGCCAATGTTTTCCGACCAAGGCGAGAAGACACCACCAAAATTACCCATACTAAAGAAGGGTTTGGAGCAGGCATAATCCATCGTTTCCGTATCAGGAAACTGGATGAAAAAAGAAGAAGGGGAAGCTCTCCTCACAGTCGTTTTCCACTCATCAACTTTTAAATGGAATTCTAGATTCTCAATAAGTTCTGCATATGTGGGGTTCCCCACATGGAGCTGAAAGAAGGCATAGAGGATGAAATCGTCCATACTGGATACCATTGTTTCAGGAAGAGGAATGTTGGGGATGAAAAGGGGGGGCGGGGGGGGGGGTTTGGGTGGTTTGGCCTTGGAGGTAGGGACGATGCTGTCGGGTAGGGGATGGTTACTATTAGGGCAGAAAAGAGAATACAATACATTATCTTAAATTATGAAATAAATAGAATTGTGTCTTTTAGATTTAAAAAATAGAATTGCGTATTTTTGTTATTCTAAAAAAATTGCAAATTTTCATAGAGAATTCTGCAGTTTATAAAAACTCCAAAGTTAATAAATTTTATAGAATAAACCTTGAAATTTTGCAAAAAAAACCATGAAGTTTCATAATTATATAAAATAAATATGAATTTTTATAAAAAAAGCCTAAAATTTTATATATTACAAACAGAATCACAAAACTATATAAGCTTTATAGATTAACCTTTAGACTTCAAAAATAAACCTAATAAAAAATTGAGTGAAGTACCGCTTGTGTTTTAATGATGAGAAAATTACAAATAAATCCTCAAGAATTGCTATGATTATATTTAAAATCAAACTTTTGGATAAATTTTATAAAAAAATTGCATAAAATATATCCGTGTGCAATGAACGCGCACTATACTAGCGTCTATATATACTAGCATCTATATAATAGCAAAATATTAGTCGCCCAAGTCTTGATATTTTGAATTATAGTCATCCAAATTTGATATTTTGAAATTAGTGGCAAAATTTGAAACTAGCTGCCACAATATTTTAAAAATCAGTCCTCCAAATCTGCTAAAAGTTTTGAAATTGGCCTTTCTAGCTAGTAGCTGATTGAAAGATTTCGAGACTAATTTCTTTAAAAATAATATTTAACGGACTAATTTTAAAACTTTTAATAATTTCAGCGACTGATTAAACATCAAGATTGCAACACCGTAAATTTGAGCGTGTAGACGAGTGAATACCGGTCGAACACGTAAACTTTTGCAGCGGTATATCAATTACTGACACGTTTTTCAGCCCAACAAATTTGGGCCTACGAGCTACAAATGGGCTTTCGCTGGTTAGCACATTTGTATTGTGGTACGCTATATAGCCGAACTAGGCCCACTTGGTCCATGACGCAGTTGTGTTTGTTGTTGGGAGTACAAGTGTTCTGGTTCCATTTGTAATTTACTAATTTTTGGCCAACCCAAATTAGGACTATGGAGGCCCAAATAAGAAGTTCGTCTTGTCCATTTTCAGACCATACATTTCAATGGGCTTGGGCGTTAAGCAGGCCTCCACTTTAAAGTAATAACTGGTGACCAGATCTATTTTCTCTCCCAGTCAAACACGCTTCCGGTGTTCCCAAGTTTTGCGAGCAGTTACTCACTCACCGTAATTTCTCGCTTCCACCGTTTTTAATTTACCTTCACACCGTTTTCAACGTATCCATGGAATTATCAGGAATTTTCGCTGATATCTGTCTGACAGGAAGGAGAAAAATATGAAAATATTTTGTTATATTTTCAGAATTAAGCATATTCTACTCGTTTGTATCGGCGACATACACTAGTAGAAAATCGCGTATCCTAGACGGAATATTCTAGACGGAAAATTTTCTGTCTAGTTTGATATTAAATTAGACGGAAAAATTCCGTCTAGAATATTCTGTCTAGGATAAAACATCATAGACGGAAATTTTCGTCTATGATAATATTCCAGAGAACAAATTTTCACTGTAGCCACTTTTTAAATTTTTATTATCAAAATCGACTGTGTATCGTTTTATTTACTGAAATCGACCGGTTTTCTCGCCACGTCAGCGTCGTGGCGAGAAAACTGGTCGATTAATTTTTAATCGTCTTCGTAAACAGTCGGGGTTGGCAACCCCGACTGTTTAGTTCAGCGCCCGCTAACAGCTTCTCTAAATGGTCGGGGTTGGGAACCCCGACCAATTCGTAATAGGACTATTACGAATTGGTCGGGGTTCCCAACCCCGACCATTTAGAGAAGCTGTTAGCGGGCGCTGAACTAAACAGTCGGGGTTGCCAACCCCGACTGTTTACGAAGACGATTAAAAATTAATCGACCAGCTTTCTCGCCACGACGCTGACGTGGCGAGAAAACCGGTCGATTTCAGTAAATAAAAGGATACACAGTCGATTTTGATAATAAAAAATTAAAATCAGGCTACAGTGAAAATTTGTTCATTTTTTTCTTAAAAATAATTTGCTAGGGTTTTCATTCATAAATGAATTTCGTGGGCTAGATTTATCTGTGAAATTCGTTTGTATGATGATTATTATCGATGTAATTAACTTTTAGGGCATATAATGTTCAATTGTTCAATTTTAGGGTTTAGGATTTACAATTTGGGAATTAGGGTTTTTGGTTGAAATTATGTGAGATTATTTGCATATTAATTTAATTTTTTATATTTAAATGATATAATTTTCTTTTGAATAGGTTGAACAATATGATGTTTATTGTTTGTTCTTATGGTGGGCAAATTAATTATGGGATGAATAATATGCCAATGTACGTCGGAGGGGTAACGACGCCATTAATGATCTCGGAATCATATAGTTACTACGACTTGGTTATGGAATTACACCGAGTTACGGAAATTGACCCACGAGAATACCGACTGAAAATTATATGCAATTGGCCCATAGCTATTGATAGAACATCCGCAGTGGAGATCTCGAACGATTATCATATGAGTATTATGTTTAAATTGGGCAAGTCGCAACAAACGGTAGAATTGTTTATTGAAAAGTTACCACATAATCCGTGCCAAATATTCAAACCTCCAGGAGAATTCTCACGCATGTTAGATATGAGAGTTAATTCCGATGGGTTTCTTTCTTCTTCGAATGAAATGGAGCGGGCTCAATTCGGTGGAACGTCAAATGTCATGAATAACGAAGTCTCTTATGGAAATATGGGGAGGTTAAGTGGGGCAACAATTGAAGAGGATGAAATAAGCAATGACGCGGGAGGTGAAGAACAATATAGTGCACCAGTTGATAGTATGCAATTTGTTACCCAAGATGTCGAAGATAATCCGGAATGGCCTGATGAGGCTTACGTTAATAATGACTACGTTGAGTACGAAGAACCACCCCCCGACGAGTTTGAAGATGATGAGTGGATTCGTTCTTCCGCAGTAAAAGATATGTGTATCGTTGAAAGTTCAACTCGTAGAGGAGATGATGACGCCCCCTTTAAAGTTGGTGATTTATTCGAGACTAAAGACCAATTGGTTGATGCTATTCGTGAATACTCTTTCGAAAAGAATTTCAAGTTCAAGCAAGTTAAAAGCAATCGCACAAGTTATGATGCAATATGTTTTATGAACACACAAAGAACAGGTCTGACCGAGGGAAATGAAGCTGATTACTCATGTCCTTGGAAGTTATATGCATTTGCAGGAAAGAAACACAATTTTCAATTTAGGATCAGTGAATACTGCGGTGTTCACACATGTGTCAATCCAATATTAGAGCAAGATCACAGTGGTGCATCTGCCTCTTACATAGCGCGGTTGATTATGCCAAAATTAAGGAAGAAGCTTGATCTAACACCCGATAATATAATTGAGAAAGTGCTTGATACCAAGTTCATTAAAATATCGTATATTAAAGCATGGAATGCAAGAAGAATTACGATGACAAAAATATTTGGTGATTGGGACAAGTCTTACGCGACACTAGCTCAATATCTTGATGCGATCAAAAGAAGTAATCCTGGATCTGAATACAAACTCATAACCAAAGAGATCGATCCGGGAGTTCATCAATTCACCTCTGTTTTTTGGGTATTTGGGCCTTCGATTGAGGGGTTTAAATTTTGTCGGCCTATTCTTAGCATTGATGGCACACACTTATACGGTAAATACAAGGGTGTACTGCTTGTTGCTACAGGAGTTGATGCAGATGGTGGCTTATTTCATTTGGCCTTCGCCGTTGTGGAGCTTGAGAACAGTGAAAATTGGGAGTGGTTTTTTTCTTGCATTCAATTATATATTTTTAATATATTGCCTCTTAGAAAAATTACTTTCATATCTGATAGGATGAAAGGTATTCCAAAAGCATTGTGGAGGAGATTTGGCTCTCATCACCATCATCGCTATTGCTTACGACACATTAGAGCTAACTTCAAAAAGAGCTTTAGTCAGATTCATTTACAAAACCTTCTGTGGCAAGCGGGTTGTACGCCGGAAACATATGTGTATGATCGGATACGGGATCAAATCAAGGCAACATCTCAAGCTGCACATGATTGGATTGAGAGAAGTCTGGGCAGTGATTACGTCGACCGGTGGGCACTCAGTAAAGATGGAGGGAATCGGTTCTGCATGATGACAATAAATTGTTTTGAAAGCTTCAACGGCGTACTTAAGGGGGCTCGGGCAATGCCCATACAGGCGTTGGTTGCGAGGACATTTTATAGGCTCAATTACTATTTTGTCAAGCGGCGAGAGGATGGAGCAATGTGGGCCTCGTTCTTGACACCAAAAAATGAGGCGATTTTAGGAGCTTGAGTTAATCAGGCAAGGGGCACGAAGATTGTTAGATTTGCTGTAGATGAATGGGAGGTTACAGACAAACATGGTCACAATTACACCGTCAATTTGGGAGGTGCACATTGCACATGCACCTGTAACATACCAGAATTGCAAAAATTGCCTTGTCCACATGTCATAGCGGTTACGTCCAAGCAATCGGGGGGTGCAAATATTTCATATTACACATACGCTTCTGAGTGGTATCAAGCAACTATAGAGAGGCATATAAGCAGTGTTTCCACCTCGTACATGATAGTCGTTATTGGCCACACTATAACGGGCCGCATGTGGTGCCTCCAAGCTATAAGAGACAAGCCAGACGCCCACGATCAGTACGCTTAAAAGGTACTATGGATGAAGGACGGGAAGGAGCTCTGAAAAAAAATAGATGTGGATATTGCAGACAAGCCGGGCATAGAAGATCTCATTGCCCGACCAATCCAAATAGATAGCAATTAATGGGTACAATTTTATACATTTGTAATTTCATTCTAACTCATTTATAGATCAATGCAAACAATGCTTATAAATCAATGCTTATAGTAAAATCAATTTTTTTCTAACTCAATTATAGATCAATTAATGTATCATCGTTATATGTGCAGATATTTCAGTTATGGAGGCAGGTCCATTGACACGTGATGTTCTTTATGACCAAGAGCGCCACCGATCCGCGAAGATAGACGCTGGGGAGGTAAAGTGCAATTTTATTATTTTCAATTATATATAAATTTCAATGTAGTTGATTGTTACTGAACATTTGCACTGTTTACTACATGTAGGCCCCGAGTATTACTATTGTCGATCATACCCGTGCACACTCTGGCTGGGAGTTGACGGATCCACAGATACAATATTATGTGCGTCAAGCCGGCTTTTTTGAGTGTTCACAAATTAAATGGGTAAGACTTGATTGGGCACTTTTGACGGCATTGGTTGAACGATGGAGGCCCGAGACAAATACTTTCCATCTGCGCCAAGGAGAGGCGACGATTACCTTACAGGATGTTGGGGTTATACTTGGCCTCAGAGTAGATGGTGATGCAGTGACGGGCACCGATGACTTCAATTTACTTCTAATATTGTTTGTCTAGTGTTTGTGTTTTATATTTATTCTAGGCAAACAATATGTTGGAGGTTGGATGGATTGAGCCTACACGATCATATCAAGAGGAGGTTGGCGGAATTGTGGAGTGAAGCATCGTACAATTCAAAGTTAAAGATCAAGTTCAAGCTTCATCCGCTTTCGCTCTCTTATTCTTTTTGTCCCCTTTTTGATGTTGTCAAAGGGGGAGAAATATTGTGAGTATATCTATCTTGTTTGTTTATATGCATGTGAGTTATTATCTTGTATATGTTCATTTCCTTCATGCATATATTCTTTTTTGTAAATTGTTTGTCATCATCAAAAAGGGGGAGATTGTTGGCCTTCTTGTTTTGATGATGTTTAACAAACAATTTATTACTAATGTTGTTTGTCTAGTGTTTGTGCATTCCTATGTTTTGTAGACAAACAACGTGGTTGGAGGATGGATGGAATTATGCTTCAACGATCATATCCAATGGAGGTTGGCGGAATGTCGGTGAAGCCTTGCTATTCAAAGTTCAAGATCCAAGTTCAAGCTTCATCCGCGAGATTACCAAGTCAAGCTTATTGAAGATCAAGATCAAGCTTGGGTAATTTAGTATAGGGTTTATATTATGTGTGTTTAATACGTTAAGCTCAATATCTATACACACACATTATATCGGTTTTCATATATATATATATAGTGATACATATATATATATAATATGTTTTTTGGTTTTATAGTTTTCGGGCTTATATATGAAACAAATGCATAGAATTGGAAAATACTATTTTGTTTCATGCTTATATATGATTTCATCTTTAACAAGCTTATATTTAATGAAATCATATTTAGTGTTTTGAATATATTGCATAGAATATGTAATTTTGTGAAAATATTGTATTCTTAGTTTGTAGACTTGAATATCAGTTTATACATGTTTTACTAAGTCTATAAAAACACTTTACAAAGTTTCAAAAGTTGGTTTATGTCAAAACATCAAAATTCTAAGTCAAAATATCAAAATATCAATTTTCAGGTTTTCATGTTTTGGACTATTTTGTAAAATGATGATATTTTTCATTTGAAAAGTCCTTTTAGAAAACCAGTTTTTGTAGCATGTGTATTATCATGTCTACAATCATTTCCCAAAGTTTTACATTTTTCTGAATTTATTTGATATTTTTAAACAGTGTTTTAAAATCAGCTTTGTTTTTTTTAGGATGCTGTCATATCTGTTTTCGGTCGACCGCACCGGTCGACCGAACCTGAGCGGTCGACCGACGATTGTCCAGACCGGTCCGGTCGACCGAGAGCTCAAATCGGTCGACCGACAGAATTTCCGGTCGACCGACGTTAGTCCAGAAAGTTTTCTTCGTGTTTTTGCTCTCATCGGTCGACCGACGGGATTTTCGGTCGACCGACAATGTGATCGTTGGACTTCCAACGGCTATTTCTGACCTGACTTTTCTGGGGCATTTTGGTCCTTCTGTTTTGGGGTTTTTGCTGAGATTTCTAGTGGGTATATATATACCCCATTGCTGATGTCTTTAAAACCGATTAAGATAGTTTTAAAAACAAGTTTAAGAAAGTTTTTAAACAAGGGTTTGAGTTTGTTTAGTTTGTTTTTGGGGTTTGCTGTTACAAAGAGGAGTTTGCATCACCAGTTGAGGATTTCATCCTCAAAATCTTCTCATCCTCTCTTTGTGTTTATAGAGAAGTTTTCTAACTCTTTTCCCTAGCAATTTCATTATTGATTTATCATATATTAATTATTGCTAGTTTGCTATTTGAGTTAGATTTCATTTTACTCATTGTTACACACACCCACATTGAGCTTTTAGTATTTACATACATAGTATAGTTGGGTGGTGAGAGTTTGTAACTTTGAGTTGTGCTTAATTGCGTTCTCATCCATAGTTGAGAACAATCAGTTGTTATATTGTGCTTATTGTGAGATTCACTTTGTAATACACTTGTACACCGAGTGAGGAGTGTGTGGTGAGAGTCGGGGATCGTCCCAAGAGGAGTGGCGTCGGTTGACGTGCCTAGGGAGAGGTTGTAACCGAGCACTTGAGGGAGATACGGCTAGGTCCAACACTTAGTGGGTGTAGAGTGGGATTACAATAGTGTGTTGATTGTAAAGTTTTCGGTTAGCTAGAAAACCGAGTGTGAGGTGTAAACGTTGTTCGGGTGAACGTAGAAAACCCGGTTGATAGTGGATTTCTCCCCGGGAGTGGGGAGCGGAGACGTAGGACGGAAGGTCCGAACTCCGTGATCATCTTTGTGTGTTTGTGATTGTCTTGGCGTATTTGTTTTTGCATTCATCTTATATCGCCAATTGTACATTGCTCATTTATTTCATCCACTATCTTGTTTAGATTGTTTACCCCTTGTATTAGTTTATATATCCTTGCATATATATAATTCATCATCTAGGATATATCTCATTGTTTATATTGCATATTCTTGCTCATTATTAGTAGTATATCCATCTTGCAAGAATATACTTATTAATTAGTTTTAATTGGTATTTAATCGGATTAGATTAGCATAAGACCCTAATCACCCCCCCTCTAGGGTCTAACAATTGGTATCAGAGCTTGGTGCTCTTTGATTTAAGGTCTAATCGCCTTGAGTTAAAGATCCAAGTTAGCTTATTATGCTAATCTAATTTTGAGCTTTATTTGTATCTTGCTTGCCTTTTATATTATGGATATGCATGGTTTAGGTTATGCCATTAATATTGCTCCTAGGTTAGATAATTTCCCTTATGCCCAATGGTGTGTTAGATTTAAACTATTTGTTAGATCTAAACATTTTGATTTATGGGAAATTATAGATGATACTTATATTGTGCCCACTTTGGAGAAATCCAAATGGAATAAGAATGATCATCGTATGTTTACAATGAACAATATTTTGTTAGAATATTTGCTAAATGCTTTTAATTCATCTATGTCTAACAAGTTTGTTCATTTTGATAGTGCTTACAAAGTTTGGAAATTTATAGAAGCACATCAAGGGGACTTGGAGGCGATCCGAAAAGCTTTGGAGGATCCCGCTTCAAGTTCATATGGAGCATTATGCACACGTGCACTAGGCGATAGCCCTAGTGAGGTTTGCGAGTTCGAACCCGATAATGATTTATCTAGTGATGAACTTGCTTGTGCTAGTGAAAAATTATTGCATACCTTTAATAAATTGCAAAATGATTTCATTAATTTACAATGCAAGCATGATAATTTAAAATCCGATCATGAGAAGCTAGTGTCCAAATTTGATGTCATTGAAAATGAAAATACTATGCTTAAAGAAAGCAATGACTTATTAAATTTGGAAAATAAAAATTTGATCTCATCTATTGCTAGCCTATATCATGCTAAGATTGATGCCATGTTAGAAGTAGAGAACATAAAGAATGATACAGCTTCTTTTATAAATAACTATTTATGTTCTACTTCTAAAAATGCATATGTGCCTAAAAATGAAGATTTGAATCTTATGAAAAATAGTATTTCATCTTTAGATTCAACTTTGAAAATATGCATTAATAATCATAAGAGGCTTATGGACATGTGTGCCAAGACTAAGTCAAAATCATCCACTCATTATGCACACATGTATAGCAAAACTTATAAGTGTTCTATTTGCGGCCGTCAAGGTCATTTAGCTAAGTTTTGTTATGATGCACACAAACATAAGAATTCTAATGTTCCTTGTGCATCTCATATAGCTTCTTCATCTTGTACACTTACACATTCACATGCTCATTCTCACAAAGTTCATCATAAGCATGCTAGTGTGTTCAAGTGTGATTATTGTGGTCGTTTTGGTCATTTGGCCAAATATTGCTTTGATTTGAAAAGAAAATCTCATTTGACAAATGCTTCCAATAGACCACATGTTTTTAAATGTGATGTTTGTGGTAGGTTTGGACATCTTGCTAAATTTTGTTTTGATATACAAAAAGCTTCTAAATTGCAATATGTTCCAAATAGACCATTGTTTAAGAATGTTTCTCATTTGCAAAATAATTTTAAAAGAAAATCTTTATTTGCAAATGATTCCCGTGCACGAGCTAATGGTCCACAAAAACAAATGGATCTCTTTCATTGCACAAATTGCAATCGGAAGGGTCATTTGAATGAATATTGTTTTGACCATGTTAGTGCACCATATGTGCCTAAGAGGGTTCATAACCCTAAGGCTTTGAGCTTTAATGATAGGGGTCATGTCCCTAAATCTTTTGGTACCAAGAGTTCTTGGGTACCAAAACAAATTTAAATTTTAAACCAAGAATTTTAGTATTCTTATTTTTCCTTTTTCTTGGTTATTTGAAAATTATGCTTTGAAACTTTTTATGAAAACAAATTTTCTTTGGTCAAATTCTTATGTTTTCATAATTCCTAGTTTTGATTTTGATGAGAGGTTTGTATTTATATAACCCTCCGGATTTATTGGGTGTTTATTCCCAAATCATGTTTACCGGATGCTAAAATGTTCATATGGGTTAATACTAACTCAAGAGCTAGATAGAGTTGCCTCTCTTGATTTTTAAAATTCAATGATGATTTGGTTTCATGATTTAAACTTTGATTTATGATTTCAATTGGTTGATTTGTTTTCATTTGAAAACTTTTTTACATGATTCTCATGTTTCTCTTCTTTTGATTTCATAAATCTATTTTATACATTGGCTTTTATGATATGAGACAATATGTTCATCTTGATATATTTATATATGTTCTCATTATCTCCTTCCTCCGCCGCCGCGACCGACACCGCCACCGCCACCAGAACACCGCTCTCGTTTCGTATTCCTTGGCTCTGCCATTCGCAAAGAGGAGACCGCCGCCGATGCATTCCTCCGCCGCCGCGACCGACACCGCCACCGCCACCAGAACACCGCTCTCGTTTCGTATTCCTTGGCTCTGCCATTCGCAAAGAGGAGACCGCCGCCGATGCAGCCGGCGAAGTCTCCGTTGATCCTGACATGGATGCGGTACAGAGGCGACTCATGTTTGAGGGCGAGTGAGTCGATCTTTTCTGTTCTTGTTTGATTGAGCTATGATGATTTTTAGGATTTTGTTGTTTTGAATAATTTGTGCATTCAATTTGTGCGTGTTATGTGTTCGTGATAAGGTCTGAGTGAGACTGATGAAAAAGAAGGGATTTTGGAAATAGAATAGGATCTTGAGCAGGTAAATGACACAGGGATCTCAGCCAACTCTGATAAGTTAAAGTTTTTATTGCCTGGTCAATTAAGTGTAACCCTTGCAATTGATAGAAAGAAGTTATTTTTTTATTAAATTTTTTTGGGAAATATGAGGTATTAACTTCTCTGAACTTATATTCTTTGTTTTGCTTCTAGAATTGTACATTACTACGGTGGAATTGTATGTTCCAGGTTCAGCCAATGGTTATGCTCCAATCTAGGTACTTCCCTCTTTTATATGGTTCTTGATTATTTCTCTAGTTTGCTATGTCATAGGTAAGGGATATCAATTTGCATAAAATCTGTGATAATATGTACACAATGTGTGAATTTTGGATGCAACGTTTATGGATCCTTGTCTAAGAAGGAAATGCAAGAGAATGAACCAGTCAAGTACAAGCATGAATTGGTTCTCTTGGATACATGAATATTTTTCATGAACTTCTTTGGAGTTAGGTGATTGTCTACTTTGTGACTTCTACTTATATATATGTGTTTAGACCTTTCTTTGTGGCTTTTGTTCATTCAGTAGTTAATCTACAAAAATTTGGTTCTTCTCTCTTTTGGCTACTTGTGAGGAAGTATATGCAATCAAGGATTATTTTTTCCTCACTATAACTTAGTATATTGTTCATCCAGCGCTTGACCTGATTGTGCTTCTCGTTTCACATGCTTTCCATTCTCATACTGCTCTCTGCAAGTATAATTTTTACGGGAGAAATGTTGCCAGAATTTTTAGTTTACTATTTCTTTCATTAGTCTTCTATGCAAGCTTGATTTCTATTGTGTTCTTTTATGAAGAGTACTAGCTTTGATCGGGTGCAAGGAGCAATGAAAACTTTTGTAGTAGATGAAACCAGTGTCAGCGGGTGAGCTTCATTCTATCCTCTTGAGTGAGATTCAGATAATGTTTTAATGTATTGTGGATTCGAATGTTGTTATATGAGATTCAGACAGTGTAATATTCAAATGAATGCATGTACAGATATTGAAAGAAATGACATTTGATCTCTCTCATTTATTTTGGGTTGGTATAGCATATGGCTCTTTACTTGTGTAAGTGATTTGTGTGGGTTGCTGATTAAATGTGAATGAATATGATTTTCTTTTTTCTCTTTGTAGTCTCCTTTTATGTTTACATAACATAAATAGCACCAAAAAAATGTAAAAGATGATGGAATATTGTTTCAGTTTCATTTCAGAATTTTGTATAATGACGGAATGCTCACTTTGTAACCCAATACACAAAGTAGGTTGACAAGCAAGCAAAAAAAAAAAAAAAAAAACTGTAAACTGTAGCACACATCCTAGACGGAAATACCGTCTAGGATGCTATATCCTAGGCGGAATTTTCGTCTAGGATATCCTAGACGAAAATTCCGTCTAGGATCTCCTAGACGGAAATAAAATCTGTCTAGGAAGTTTCCTAGACGGATTTTATTTCCGTCTGGAACGTATACTAGACGGAAATTCCGTCTAGGATACCGCATCCTAGACGGAAATAAATTCGACTCACATTCTAGACGGAAATGGGAGTATCCTAGACGGAATTTTCCGTCTAGGATGCCTCATTTTGTACTAGTGATAATTTGTTTTTTTTTCTTTTTTTTTTGAGCGGATCATGTGAGCCCACACCGTTTAATTTGGTCTCCCGGCCAAATTCTGTTTGGTCTAACTTGTCCCATTTCATTTGTTTTCATTTTAATGAAATATATGGTGATCATATTCAATCTTTTAATATAAGGTAGAAGGAAATAAATCTCGAATATTCCAGTGTCTAAGACTCATGTACATATTTTTTTTTGGGTTTCTGTTGACACGCTCATTGATCTTTGTTTTCTTTGTAAATGCTCCAACCGATTCAATTCTAGCTGATTTTATACACCATTTTGTTCGGTTGGATCTACCTTTTGACTCTCCTGACAAGGGGCTTATCGCTTGTTCTTTTGTTTCTGTGTTCTCACTATGCATCTTAATGTTATTTTTGTTCTGATCCATGGAACAAGACTTGATTGTGTAACTAAAATCTACTATAGTCAATTGCGAGGGAGATTTCTAGGCTACAATATTACTTTCTGATAACTGGACTACTCTTTCTAAAATATTCTTACACTACAATTCTATACTATATATTCTGGCGCTACAAGAAAGAAAAGTATGGGGTCCATCCTCTTCAACTTCTTTCGGAATTGATGATTATCAAAATAGCTTGTACTCTTATCTCTTGTAGTGTGGGAGTAGTTTAAGGGAGTGTCTATCTTAGCATTATTCTTATTTCTACGCTTATCATTATTGTTATTATTATTGGTCTAAATTAACCATCAATTGCACATCATGATGCACATCGTATTGTGCAGGTCAAAACGAAGGGAAATATGCTTTCCTCGTTATTATATGGTTGTTTTCCATGTATGTTTGAACACTTACAAGTGCTTTAACTTCTATATCAAATGACTATCATACTATACTTGCCTAAAAATATTTATGGTCGACAATCCCGGTTAACAATTCAAAGTATCCATTGTGATTTATAGATCTACGGAGCTGAGAGGAGAAAAATTAAAATGGGGGTGATGTATAATTTCAGCCTCAACTAGAAAGTATTATTTGTTAAAAATTATACGAGATATCGGCTCTGAATTAAACATGTACACATCTCAACCCGTAAACACTGATGAACATCTTCATGTTCACAAAAATTATAACAAATAAAATTATCTCACTAAATTTATAACATCTATTTTACAGGATACATTCGTCTCACAGAATTTATATGAGAACTAATAATTATCTGATCAAGAATCTCGAATAAAAGTTTATAACTCGTTAAACTGTTTCAATTGAGAAGAGCATTGCGGCGCTCTCGACATCAAAAACAGCACACCATCATTTTGTTGCACCTTGATTAAGAAATCAAGTGAGGTATTATTATTGAAGAAAACAATGAAAAACTGAGACTATATATCTATAAATATCACTTCGGAACCCCAGAGTCAATAGGACAGTGGCTTAATTTGGGGACTTTAGTTTTCCCTTTTTTTCAAATAGGTTTTGGAGATGCGATGCAAGCGATTCAGGCCACTTGAAAATGAGATATTTATTTTTATATAATAACTTTAAGCAATTTTTAACTTAGTTTCTCTTCACATGGTCTCTTCTCTATTGTGTGCTTGCGTATGTGGGACTTAGAATCAATAGAGAGAAGGATTTCCAATCTAAGATGTATCCAGCTACTAATTGAAGTAGGTGAACCGAGGAAATTGTGCAGTGCTCTTGAGTTGTCTCTAGACTTGTCTCACAAAAGTATCAACCATGAAAAATGAAAAGTAACAATATATAAGGAGTACATTTGAACGATCATATTAAATATTTGACGATAATTTATGAAACATATTACGTGTCAACCTAGAAAGTCCAACAAACATCTTCATGAAATCTAACTACTTGCAACACAATTGGTCTATCACCACAATCACACGAATATTAATACCAATAAAAAACACAAACTAAATACTCACTAAAAACTGCCAACTGAAAAATCAAGTGACCTTGGCAAACATATGATTTTAGTGCCTCGAAGTCATTTCATCGCGCTTCCAAAAGACTGTCTAGAAAAAAAAATAATAAAAGCAGAAAAGAAATTCCGTAAAAGCTATAGCCTCATTGTATCCAGGTTTTCAAGTATTGATTATGTAGTCTCACTGGTTGATTTCTTCAATAACAATCTCACTCGATATTTGATATTTGATATTTTCAAAAGAGCAATAACGCTCTTCTCAAATGACGAGTTACCTGCTGCAACATTTGCGGTGGTTTTTCTAGAAATTACGTGGGATGCAGACATATATTTACATTGCTGGGTGTCCACTTTTATGTTCCCCACCAAAACCATGACAAACACTACCCATACCAACCTGTGGCTCACACTTTATTTTCAGATCGTTTACTATTTTAGGTTTCTACTCATTTCATTCTCTTAACAATCCAATACATTTATGTTGGAAATTGTGTTTAAATCTAGAATGAAACAGAGAAATTTTGACGTGTTATAATTTTAAACTTTTTCAGTTCACTGCTGTGCGTTTGTGAAAGATGTGCTTAAAGCAATATTTGGCCTACTCCGGTGCAAAGATCCTAAGGTCAAACCGCTACCAGGAACAACAGTACAGTACTCTGGTATGCATCAACCAGTACTGTTAAGATCTCCTTGATCTATAATAGACCTTTCAGTTAAGGCAAAGATCTCCTCGATTTCAAAACTTTTTGGTTCAAAACCTTTCGGTTTCAGGGCAAGTTTCTTCGGGCATAGTTTCTGCAGCAACAGCACAACAACAACAACGTCAAGATATCCTCGATTCGACGTTTGTATTTCAAGTTCGCACCAAAAGCTGCCCAAGAGGCGCTATTTATAGGCCTCTAAGGCCAGCTCAAGAGTCACCCTCAATTAATGTGGCTGTTACAAATCATTATGCCCTCCATTAAATTGATCTAAATGTTGTTGTAACTGCTGCATACAGTAACTCCATAATACGAGACAATCAATGGACGTGTTATAAGGCAATAATTGTGCAATAAAAAATGAGACAAACAATACACCACAAAATGAACAACCAAAGTAAATGAGATAGAGTTAGAAATCGTTATCCTAGTGACGCGCGATGTGTTAACGATGTTCGGCCCGCTGACCTACGTCCCCGCTCCCCACTCTCGAGGAGAATCCACTACATAACCCGGTTTGGAAGCCGGAACTTCTTCTACACAACGATCTCCACAAGATCTCACAACTACACAGTTGATCAACACAAGATCTTACTCCCACACAGTTGATCTCCACAAGATCAAGCTCACAATAGTAGTAAATGGTATAAAATCTCTCTCTTTACAGCGTCCCTATGGCAAGGAGAAAGTTTACACTGAAGCTTGGGATGTGAACTTGAAAACAGAGAAAACAGGATTGAAAGTTTGGCTCTCAGAAAAACAAAACTCTGGTTTTTCAAAATATTTGGGACAGGTTGAAGAAGAGGGGTAGAGGGGTTTAAATAGGAGAAAACACTACAGCCAAAGCCCATACCCAAATCCCACACAATCCCGTAAAAATCGTTTCTCAAATCTGTACCAAAAAATCCGTTGGGGGTGAACGACGGTCGACAGTGAAATTTTCACGGTCGACCGCGAGCCTCTTTCGAATCTGAGAAAAATTCCAGAGACTTTTACGGTCGACCGTGGCAGTCGAACGTGGAAATTTTCAGATCGACGGTCGACCGTCACGATCGACCGTGAAAGTTTCTGCTGCCTACTCAGAGAAAAAACATAGGCACGGTCGACCGTGGCGGCCGACCGCAAACTAACACAAAGGATATCTGTTTTAAAACCTGTTTTTGACTCTTTAAAAATCTGTAAAAATACTGAAATAACTTCTAAAAATTGTGTAACTTTGTGAATTGTTTTTAATATTAAAAAGAAACTGTTTAGAAAAAGAATTTTACGAATAGGTCTTCATACTTGTGAAAAAAGATATTTTGTCAAAACGCTCAAAAATATAAGTATGAAAACGTGTGTGTGTGATATCCCAATAGCTTCAAATAAAATCTACAACTACTTGCCTACATTCTAGCACTAGAGAGAATATAAAAACTAGCTAATATCCTCACATATAATTATATTTCTTTGAGTCTTGATATAGCTTTGAGTTGATAAAGCTTTCACTTGTATATGTTGTTCTTGATTAACATTTGCTTCATCACTATGCCTCCTCCTCCTTTGGGTATCATCGTTGTAGCTCATATTCCATCTAATCCTCCATATTCCTTCATGCATATATTCATTTTTGTAAATTGTTTGTCATCATCAAAAAGGGGGAGATTGTTGGCCTTCTTGTTTTGATGATGATTTACAAACAATTTACTACTAATGTTGTTTGTCTAGTGTTTGTGTATTCCTATGTATTATAGACAAACAACGTTGTTGGAGGTTGGATGGATTGAGCCTACACGATCATATCAAGAGGAGGTTGGCGGAATTGTGG